GATTTTGTGTGTGCTTCGGCGCCAGAATTATCCCCGCCAAGTTGCAGCTTCACAGCACAGGAGAGTTTCCTGTTGCAGAGGAAAACCCCGGTGCAGGGACGAGTTTCCCACCTTTTCTGCAGCTTCTTTTGCAGAGTGCATTGCTCAAGTTGCAAGAGGAACGCACGGTGCAAAAGAGTTCCCGCCACCAGTATGCAAATTCGTTCCCCGCTATTGGCTAGTTTTAAATTATTCACACGTGGCAGCTAACGATTGGCCTGTTAGCCATATAAGAGGCTTGAGCGGTTTCCGCCCAAGCCAAAGAGGACTCCACATCCATCTCGTGGGGACTCTGGGTACATGGCAGGGTAATAGAAACCCTGTGTGAGATCCAGAGGAGCCTGGCGGCCTGAACCACTGCCCACCTCTTCCCGTCTTCGAGCGCGACTTTTATAAGACGTATCTACGATTCTCATTTTGGTGGCTCGTTCACCCAGAGCATCCGGAGCTCTGCACCGTGGAGCCTAGCAACCTCCACGAGACCGTCTGTGTTGTCTGTCTGTCTGTAACTGCAACTCAAGCAAGTTTTCCAGCCTACACCACTGCCATCTCGGTGTAAGTAAACAATCTTTAAAACTACCGATACGCGTTTGTGCCTAATTCCAGCTCGACGGCCTCCCCTCTCTGACCCGGCGTGCCCAGGCTGCTGGCCACAGTCCGCGTGCAGCACGGAAAAGGGCTCGGGTCACTCCCGGCCCGCACACTTAGGTCAGATTTTATTTCTTAGGAAGAACACATTAAAACATAAAAAAGTGCATATTCAACTCGAAACACCCAGTTATTGAAGCAAACCATGTCCCATAGATCCCATCTTGTGACCAATTTGATTTACAATTTACGTCATCAGGGACACCTGATAGTTGAGAAAAACAAGTTTTGTAAAAGGGATTTCATTCATTACTTTAAACAACACGAGATGAAGGATCCTAGGAACGAGCTGAAAGGGACATCATAAGGTCATCTAGTCCAAACCCCTACTTCAAGCAGGATCATCCTTGGCTGAACCATCCCAGCCAAGTGTCTGTTTAACCTGCTTCCTGCAAGTTTCCAAGGACAGAGATCCCATAACTTCTCTAAGTTCCAGTACTGGATCACCCTCATAGGAAGTTCCTTCTAATCTCTAGCCTAGAGATGTACAGAATCTAGGTAAAAACAAAATCCTTTATACACCATTTTCTGACTCCACTTCCTCACTAAAGCATTCTCTGATATTTATTCACTCTTCAAGGGTATCCATGAGTCCTGTTCTGCAACTCAGATTCTGTCTGCCCTTCCCTCCTACAGCCTTGGCTGGTTCTGCACCCACAAAGTCCCTGTCTTCACCAACAGCCTCTTTATTCTTCCATCTAGCCAGAAACTTCCTTTGCCTGGTTCCAGTATGTGCTTAAAAGACTGCAGCAACCTCTCTCATTTTCAGGAGGGATTCCATTGCTTCAACCCCTACCCTTGAGGAAGTCACAGAACTTAACTTAGGAAACAGTTTCTCCTTTGTTCTGCATAGACAATGGCTATCCAAAGTAAAAATTATCAGTAGCAACTAAACTATTCTTAGACAAATGCCCCAGTACCCTCCCCTCATCCTGTCACTTCAGACAAGGAGGGCTACTGAAGGTAACCATAAGACAAGAAAAGAGGCAGTTCACAAGTTGTACAGACAGATTTCCTGTTTCACCACATCTGGTTTCAGTACTTTCTGGTAATCAGTTTAGATACCCCAAAACTAAAGCAACTGAAGACAGTCATTTTTGCCAATATTAGTCTAAGTGTGTCAGTGAGGTTTGGCTGAACTCTGAGTCAGCATTGTTTTCCCATGTGAGAAAAAAGACCCAAGTAAGTAACTTGCTTACCCCATCTGAAAAACGAGAGGACAAACAATAACCAGGATTTCCATTATTTAAGCTATGTACAAAATTTTTCCATAGGTGTCACAAAATACCTTATTTCATATCTCTAACCTTCTTAAAAGCTTTTGATAGTTTTGCTTTTTATATAAAGGAAATGTGACCAAATAGGGATGCCCTTTTTAGAAGTAGAGATCTTTAAGCCAGGATGGCACTTCATTGCATCTGCACAGCTGGTTGTCATTAAGAATACTTCATTACATAAAGGAAATGACATTTGATCCATCCTGACTATGATTTATATTACAGCTGGACAATACTATGTTCCAGAATTAATCATATGGCTTAGGTCTACAAAGCAGATAATGACAAAGCTGAAGGAACTAGCCAACACGCCTGGCTGAATGAAGCCATGTTCAAAAGATCTGCTTCTTTCCCAGATTGTCAGGTGTAAATCTGGTGAAGCAGTTGGACTGGAGTGGGCAAAGAAGTGTAAAGGGGGGGGGAAAAAAACAAAACAAAAAAAAAAAAAGAGTCAAACACCACTAATTATTCTAGTAAATCTTTCTTGCACAAAGTAAGGACAGTTTCATTATGGACCAGAAGGGATCTTGTTTAAATCTTCCCTGAGTGGAGAAATAAGTTGGCTAGATGTTAGTTCCTAGGATTCTATGTGGATTCCTCCCCAGTGTAGTTCTCTCTTACCATTATACCATTTGCACTCTACATTGAAAACCCTGGAAGGGATGGGAGGAGAAGGTGAACGGTGAAACAGAAGAATAAACACAGAACAAAGTTCAAACCTAGAAGCAATTTAACAGGAGAGGTAGAAAGGTCTGTGGGTACTGTTACAAAATTCTGCTAGACAAGTCTTTTAACCTCAGCTTCTCTAAAGACCCACAGTCAAAGCATTCTGCTTCTGCCTGTCTGCAGATGGACACTGGTGCAGTTACCATGACTATATCTGCACAAGAGGGTCCACAGTTGAACTAAACTACAAAAAAAAAAAAAAAAAAAAAAGCACTATGGAAGTAATTATAAATACAATACTAAAACGAAAACGTGACATGACAAAATGTGAAATTTTACACTGATATAGAAAATTCCTGAACAAAATAATCAGAATATACTTGAGAGAAAGGTAAGTAAATATTCACACAAACTTCTACACTGAATTTGTATTTAAAATCACAATTACACATGTAAGTTAGCTAGCAAACAAACATGAACAGCGTGTGCCCCCAGCAGCTGGGGATTTTTTAAAATAAATTTTCCATGTGCAGAATCTAATTATTGAAGTGTAGTCTTTAATTCATCGCTCTCTACCACCGCACTGCAGTGGGGCAGTTGTGGGGAGGCAGGTAGTATGGGGAGTTTTGATACAGGATTTAATTTTTTATTGTGTTTTTTTCCAAAGGTTTGGCCTTTTGTGTATATTTTTGTTTACCCCCTGCTTGTGCCTGCCACCCTGCCACCTGCCTGCCCAACTACAGCCTCTGCTCCCCCTCCCCCATGCTCTGCACCAGCAGACTCTGCTCCCATTCTAGCCTGGGGCACTGAGTATGGCCTCAGCCCAGCCTCTGTAGCAGCTGTGCAGGCTGCATGCCACTGCTATGGGGCTGGACTGTAGTGTGGATGAAGCCTGTCAGCACAGACCAAAGGTAAGGGAGGGGGGTGGAAAGAGGAGGGAGGCTGCAGTGGTGGGGGCAGGTAGCAGCAGCAACTGCAGCTACAACCCTGACCCCAATCTCAGGTAAGGGTTGGGGCCCAAGCCACGGCAGCCACCTTCCCCCATACTTGATTCTGAGACAAGAGGCATTTATCCCCCTTGTTAAAGTGGGGAAAAATGTTTTCAAATTGAATAAATATGGTAATTAAATAGAAAAAGGGCTGAAGACAGGACCCTGAAGACACCAAGTAACAGAAAGAATAGATTTATTTAAAAAAAAACAAAACACCAACAAAACACAACCAAGACAAAGGATACTTTTTTCTTCAAAACAAAACAAATGAAATTCATTGGAGTTCTTTATGTCACTGGAATCACCATAAATGAGATAAACAGGGATAGAATGACTGGGTCAATTTAAAAAGTGAGGGGGAAAGACATTTTTTCAGAGGAAAAAGTACTAGGAAACTGTTAAACAGTCTTCTTTACAAAAAAAAAAATCCCTTAATTCATAATTATTCCAGTTCCAGCAACTTTAGCTGTAAATTGGCATTTTTAGAGCATATTTTCACATTATAGCAATTATATTCTTCCTATTCTAATACTTGTTTGACATCGGTGATCTGTAGCCAAGCTTACAAAAATGTTAAAAAGACTTGAAATTTACACTGGTATTAAATCACCCTCTGGGACAAAGATACGTGGACATTTTAGATTACTAGTACGTGGAGCTGAATTATAATGGAATTCTCCTCCCAAAACTCCAGACACTACGTCCTGAGCTGCAGTTATAGAATTTTTTTTATTGTGCATTCCTTTTGTCTTCAAAAGGAGGATTGTAGCCCAAACTCAGGCCCCACTAATTCCTGTATCTGTCCCATCTACCAGTCAATGTTGAATCAATGGCATGTTCTTGTTCTATTCCAGGGGTCAGCAACCCCCCGGCATGCAAGGCCATTTTTCTCGGCACACCATCACCAGCCTGGGCTCTAAGCAGCTGGTGCCAGCCACAGAGCCCAGACTGCCCCAGCAGGCAGCTGGGAGGCTGCAAGCCGTGCTGCAAGCAGACTGGCTGCAGCTGGAAGGCTACAAAAAACTGCTCCGGGCTCTGGCATGTCAGCACTCCGGCACCTTCCAAGGTAGACATTGTGGTTTTTTCAGCACTCCAGCCAAAAGACGTTGCCTACCCCTGTTCTATTCTAATTCAGTATCAAAAGAGTAGTGTTACTGTTTATATCCAGCCCACTGGAGCATTATGTTTGTGTAAGCCAAAAGAAGGATAGCATCTGCAGCTACTGCCATGGGTGATACCTGAAATAAACTTTGATCTACAGGTGTTCCGGTGGGTCCAAAGAAGAATTTCAGAACTGTCCATACACCTGACCAGTAAAGGGCATTTTGAAAACACTGGAACCTGATTGTGAATTTACTATATAAAAGAGCATCATTACCTTTCTTTTCCCCTGTATAAGGCACAAAATCCTCCCTGTCTTTGTGTTCTAGTGCTTGCTTCTCCAAAAAGGCAAGGAGTCGCTCTCTGTCAAAAGGACCAGAGGCTTTTTTAACAGTTTGGTCCTTCTGTCGGAAGCCCGCTGGCAGCAGTGCATTCTACAAAACAAAATGTTATTGTAACAGTTTGAAAAGTCTTAGTTATCACAACATACTTTCATTTTTCTAAGTCAAATACTTTTTACTCTACTTTTCAACTACGATGGACATGCCAGTGATTTGTGGGCCAAGTCTGGCAAGGAGACCTCAGTAAAAGCAGACTGCACACTGGGCGCTGCTAGGGCCCCTCTACACGTTCAGGTAAAAGCACAATGGAATCTAATGCACAATCTACACATTTGCACCTCTCACAATGCCACACGCACTTCATGGGGGAGCCTAGGATTATGATCCTGGGCTCCCCCTGCATCAGCTCTGAGCCCCACAGTTGATGGGGCTCACAGCAGTGGCAGCATACCCCGTGACGCCCCTGCTGTGAGCCCCACATTTCACATCACAGTAGAGCTTGTAGCAGGAAGAATGCTGCCACTGCTGCAAGCCTCAAGTGGGTTCATGGGAGGTGAGGAAGGCAGCTTTCTCCTACACTGCCCCCACTGCAAGTCTCATAGCTCAGGATGCTCAGTGGCAGCTTCCTTCCCGCTGCTGCCCCTGCAACCCTCACAGCTATGGGGGCTGCAAGGCTTGCAGCAGGATCAGGGTGGGGAACGCTGCCACTAATGTAAGCCCAGCAGCAACACTGGCTGTGGGGCTCCCAGTGGGGGCGGAAAGGGAACATTGCCCCTGCTGCAAGCCCCCCACTTCAGGAGGTTCTCAGTGGAAGCAGCATTCTTCCTGCTGCAAGCCCTGCAGCCAAGGACAATGCCCCCATTGCAAGCCTTGCAGCCAAGGAGGCAGTATTTTTCCTGCTGCCAGCTCTGCAGCTGACAATGCTGCCACCACTGAGAGGCTTGTTAGCTATGGGGCTGGCAGCGGGTGGTGTTCCCCTGTGCCTGGAAGCCCCTCAGTGGCCACATATTCAATTAATGATGTGATTAGAGCAAGCAACAAAATTATTACACATTTTTTGTGGAATAACTTTGTAGCTCATTGTTTTATCACGCCGTTCATTGTTTGAACATGTAGCTGGGTCACAACTTAAGGTGTGATTACACCTGGCTAATCATACCTTATGAGTAATGTGTAGAGGGAGCCCAAATGCTTAAAAAAAACCCAGAAGAAACTAAAACAACAGTTCCAGCCTGAGAAGTATCATAGCTCTCAGAACTAGGCTCACACAGAAGTCATTGACATTTCTTTTTCAACATGAATTCCCCCATCTCAATGAATAGCTAGGAATGAATGAACCACTAGTTACAAGCTGAATGAACACTCCCTAAGCTGCTTCCTTCAACACTAACATCTAACTTTATCTACATCCACAAAACAAATGTCTATTCTAGTCAACACAGCTAAAGCCAGCGACATGAAAGTGCTTCTGTGCAACAGACTGATTTACATTCAATACTTTCTGCAACTGCACAGAAAGGTGGAGGAAAAGCTGTGTAGAGAAGCAGGGAATAGAAAAAAATATAAGAGGGGAGATTTCCAATGATCATTTCGTGAAAATAAATAAATACAAATCAACCAACCAAACCAAATAAAACAACTTACCCTGACTGTCAATTTTCCACAGTTAAAATTATGTGGGTCACCAAAATTAAAGGTAGATGATCGTAACATTGCTCTTGGGAGCCCACAAGAAAAACCTAGCTATAAAACAAGGTATTCTGCTGAGTGGTACCTCTGTATCAAGTTTAAGCCTAAACTGACTATACTACAAACATCTAAAATATTAAGTGCAACACTGTCATGGTGTGAGAGCGTGAGCACAAAACTGACAGATGAAAGCTAAATCATGGGAGTAGAAGATTGTATTGTAATTGATCTTTTTTTGTTCATAGATTGTAAATGTGATTTTTTAAAGGCAAGAGTCAGATCCTATTTCCCTTATTAGATGTCTATGTCTCATAGCATAATCCTAATCCATCCTCTTTGAGTCCTTGAGAAACTATAAGCACGTTGTCTTCTGTAACATCGCTTGATTTTAGCCATAAACTTAAATAATAAAAAGCAAGCAAGAGGATGTCGTCAAACCATCCACCTTCAAGTGAATTTCTAAATCAGGAATGTCACCAACTGGAAATGTTCCCTTTTAAAAATAATTTCCTAAAAAGCTTGATGTAATTGTCCTGGACTTCCAGGTTATTTTACATTTTTTACTATTTCTAATTCCATCAAGTTAAGAAGATGCCACTGTACTGAAAGGCTTCAATAAAATCTAATTTAAAGCAAAAGGTAAAAGTTTGTAACAAAACAGTTTCTAAGAGAGTGATACAAAAGACTCTTCACTTCCCCAATTCCCACCTCAGGGTCAAGGTCATCCAGAACAGTTTCCAGTTGCTTTAATTCTTCTTCTGAAAGCTTGCCCAGAATTTCATCCTCATCAAGATCCTTGTATTTGTCTAAGTCTTTTCGGAATGGGAGCGTCATGACTTGGGTAGCAGTCACTTGAGGTGTTCAAACTAGCAGTTAAGGGCTGTGTTTTGCTCTTAAACAGACCTATAGAAAAAAACAAAAAAAACAAGAGGCACAATAAAGCAACTATAATAATCCCTAGGTATCATCCAGCTTCCAAATATATTTCCTATAAAAACTATATTTCTGTTCATTGCACACTGTGAAGTTTTTATAATGCTCATCACTGTGCTCGCTAAACACTGCAGGCATCCTAGTACTGGTACAGGGGACTCATCATTCTACACTATCATGAACAGTAAAACAAGTTTTGGCTTATACAGTCAGTATCATTTTAAATTTACACTACTGACATCAGCGAGAGCCCTTAAACTTTAGCAAAAAGGAAAAAAAGCAACTTATCATCCCAGTCCTACTCTGCTTACCTGGAAAGAGCCATCCCCTCTCCCCACAGAGTCTGTTCACTTGCCTTGTAGGAATGGCACATACAAGGTCTGGTTAGTGCTAAAAGCTATGAGGAGCCTGCTCACTGCAGACAGAACATTTGGAGATTTTAGCTATTAGGTTCTACCAAGTTTCTTCTGAATTTGTAAACTGCAATTTTTGCCAAGCTTATAAATTGGCTGGTTTGGGATGCATTTTCCTACAGGCAGCAAAAATATCCCTATTATGCAAGCTCCCCTGTCAAATTTCAAGTCCCTATAAGGGCAAAAGAACTTTCCAAATAAAGTTTCCAGAATTTTACCCTTGAAAACCTATTTTACCTGGTCTTGTTCTCATAAGATACGAGTGCCTGTGTGTGTCTGCGTGTCATCTATTTGATATCATCAAAATACATCAGATAAGAAGTAGACACCGGGAATGGGAAACTTCAGCCCATAGATCGGAAGTTTGACAAAGTTAAGACTAACTGGGGAAAAAGACCTTATAATGAGAAGTGTTGGGCATCCTTAGCAACAGACACTGCTACAAGGCCATCATGCTATAGCTAGGAAAAATGTTAACTACAGGAATACTCTTTTCAGAATATGAAAATAGAAACAAAACTGGTCTTTGGCAAGCAATTCGTTTGGCTATCAAATTACACAGTCAAACATTTTAGATTAATTTTGCATCTGGACTTGTTATATCTAAAAATGTGTATGATTTTCAAAATTTGTGGTATTTAACATGCAACTTTAGCTAAATAATCCAAAAAAAGTTTCAATGTCAGTTCTTGGGCCCATGATGATTATCTGCAAGTCATCTGAAGAAAAAACTAGACCTAAAAATATTTAATTTACAATTCTCACTATCTTTTGCTCTCCAAAGGCAAATAGACACTAAAACTAAATAGGGCTTCCTTAAATATCTGGGCTACTGATAGTTAGGAAAGAAAAACAAAAACAAACAAAAAAAAACACAAACAAAAACTGCATATAATTCGATAGAGTCATTCATTTGCTGACTGGACAAACCAAATATTACTCACTAGTGCAGGAATATGACTCAGCAGGCGTAGGCAGAAAGAACTTCTTCTGCAGTTATTACTGACTTATATGTCCTTGTTTATTATCCTAATTAGTTTGCTCATAATTTTAGCCTCCCTGACTATCCATCTCTTAGTAAAGTGGGAAATATGATCCTGAATAAGAAAAATAATGATCACTACTGATCTTAGAGCTTGCAAAAAACTGAAGACAAGAGGCTGGGCTTAGACTGGAGAACTAGAATACATAACTATTCAGTTCTTCCTGAAGTGGTAAAACCAGAGAGGTGCATCAGATTACAGACTTTGGAAACAAGAGCTAGACCAGGGGTGGGCAGCCTGCAGTGGACTCCCATTTCCCAGCAGCGGTGGCGCTGTGACAGCATGGGGCCATGGTTTCCATGGAGACCAGCCCCAGCAGTGCTAGGTGGGCAGACCTGGGCAGGGAGCTGCTCTGGGGCTGGGATCTTGCAGCAGGGACGGCATGGTCCAGAGCCAGAGCAGAGCTGCTATCCGCTGCCCACACACTCTCAACAAGGGCATGCAGACAGCTCTAGCCCAGCTCCAGACCACGCTGTCACCACTTCAAGATCCCAGCCTCTGCCCAGCTGTGCGTCCTGCCAGTGGTGCTGGGGCTGGTCTCCATGGAAACCCTGGCCCCGTTCTGTCACAGCACCACAGCACCACTCCGGGGGTCTCCACTGAAACTGGCTGCAGCTATGTGGGCAGGGGCTGTTGGGAAATGGAGTCCAGACGCTGGCTGGATTCACCATTTTGCCCACTCCTGAGATAGACCCAGGTAAGGTCTGTAAGTGCAAAAACGTTTGTAACCGTCTGTTTCTGGTCAGAACAAGCTACAGGAAGGCTGTGCATGCAATCAGTCAGTCTAGCTGTTCCAGCCTGTCAATACAATGTGGAAAGTCCTATTCCACACACGTGGAGTATACATATTTCACACATTACTCATTTTGCTTCTGCAAATAGGTTTTTCCAAACAACATGACCTTTGGTAGCTCAAGATGCAGTTGTTTCCCCATACACGTACCAAACAAATTAAAAATACTTATCATCACATGAATATGAGCCAGCAGTGTGCCCTTCTTACCAAGAAGGCCGATGGCATCAGGGGCTGCACTGGTAGGTATTGTTGTCAGTAGGTCAAGGGAAGCAATTATTCTGCTCAGAGATGTGGGTTTTCTGGAAAATTTTCCAATGCCCTAAGTACAGTGTGATCTGATTTAGCATGTTTATTTGACTTGTATTTAGTAAACTAAACTAAACTAAAAGTACCCCCAAGATAATTTTATGTCCCAATAGCCACATGTATTGGAACTGAAATATTTGATTAGGAAAAAAATTCAATACAGCACACTTAATGTAGTTTAAATGTTATATTCAAACAAATTCAAAGCTTTATGTGGAAATAAATTATTTTTATTGGAATACTTGTAAAAATGTAAAGACAATACACAATACCATGTACTTTTTCTCCTTAGAAATGGATTCCTTGAGGAACTTCTCCATAATTTTTCCAGGGAATGAGGTGAGGCCAACTGGTCAGTAGTTCCCAGTAGGATCTTTCTTTTTCCCTTTCTTAAATATGAGCACTATGTTTGTCTTTTCCAATCATCCGAGACCTCTCCTGATCACCACGTGTTTTCAGAGATGATGACCAGTGGCTCTGCAATCATATCTGCCAATTATTCCCTCAGCACCCTCAGGTGCATCCCAGCCAGCCCCATGGACTTGCACACATCCAGCTTTTCTAAATAGTCCCCAACCTCTTCTTTTACCACTGAGGGCTGCTCACCTGCTCCCCAACATGTTCTGCCCCATGCAGTAGTCTGGGAGCTGACCTTGCCTGTGAAGACTGAAGCAAAAAAAAGGCATTGAAGACTTCAGTCTTTTCAGCGTCTTCTCACAAGGTTGTCTCCTCCATTCAGTAAGGGACCCATGCTTTCCCCGATTCTCCACTTGCTACAGGCATACTTGTAGAAACCCTTCTTGTTACCCTTTACATCCCTTGCTAGCGGCAACTCCCATTGCACTTTGTTCTTCCTGACTTCATCCCTGGATGCCCAAGCAATGCTTTTATGTTCATGCCTAGTTGTCTGTCCAAGATTCCACTTCCTATAAGCTTCCTTTTTGTGATTTAGTTTACTGAAGAGTTCCCTGCTAAGCCAAGCTGGTCTTCTGCCATACTTGCTGGTCTTCCTGCACTTTCAGTAAGGCTTCTTTCAAGTACAGTCAGCTCTCCAGGACTCTTTTCCCCCTCAGACTGGCTTCCCAGGGGATCCTGCCCATGAGTTCCCCGAGTGACTTGAAGTCTGCCTTTCTGAAGTCTAGAGTCCTTTCTCTGCTGCTCTGCATCCTTCCTTTCCTCAGGATCTTGAACTTTATCATCTTGTGGTCACTGCTGCCCAAGTTGCCATTCACTGACTACTCTCAACCAATTCATCCCTGCTCGTGAGCAGCAAGCAAGAAGAGCATGGTCCCTAGTTGGCCGATCCAGCACTTGCACCAGGAAGTTGTCCCCAACACCACTTTCCAAAAACTTCCTGGATTGCCTGTGCACTACTGTATTGCCCTCCGAGCAGATGTCAGTGATTGAAGTCCCTTCTGAGAACCTGGGCCTGTGATCAGGAAACTTCCACTAGCTGTTTCAAGAAAGCCTCATCCACCGCTTCCTCCTGGTCTGGTGGCCTACAGCAGACCCCCACCACATCACTCTTGTTGCTCTCCCCTCTGACCCTAACCCAGAGACTCTCAACAGGCCAATCTCCAGTTCCATACTGGACCTCTGAGCAATCATATGGCTCTTTTACATAAAGTGCAACTCCTCCTCCTCCTCTCCTCCCCTGCCTGTCCTTTCTGAACAGTTCGTACTCATCCATGACAGTGCTCCAGTCACATGAGCTATTCCACCAAAGGTGAGAAGGACAATAAGTGAACATAAGAAAGAAGTCTGTTTTACCAGTACCTTTGGGCATACAAAAAAAAAAAATTAAATACTAAAATCATAACTTTCTTTGGCACAGTCTTTATTTTATATTTTTTCAGTATATTTAACTTCTTGGGTCATTTATTGGTTATTTGTTTCTCCTTCAGAACTTTTAAAAGCAGCAACAGTTCAAGGACCTGTAGTTATCAAACTTATATTCACTGAAGTTGAACCTGAAAATGTGGGGTTAACTTACATGCATGATCAAAATACAGGCTTATTGTATTGTTGCATTTACAGTTGGCTACAATTTTGTTCAGGGTGTTCTTATATTATCATGTAATGTTTTGCTAAAGAAAAGCATTACCAATAGAAAACACCAAAGCTAACCATGACTGAGCATGTGGTATTGGCAGGACATCCAAATTCTGAGCTATTATGACCAAACCTAAGCTAAATTCTCTAAAGACTGAAAAAAACCCCATGAGAAAGTGTTAGTAATTTAAAGTAAACAAAGAATTTCTGCCAGGACTCCCCTTGTCCTAACAGTTACCATGTTGTAAGTTTATGCTTCTCGGACAGCAGGCTAAAGTAGAAAAGCATTATTATGTTTTGAGAGACCATTAGGAAGAGATGTTTTAACTGAAAGCATTCAAGCAAAGAACTGTCCATGTT